CGGAGCGCGGAGCCGCCGCGGGGGGGGCGCGGCCCCCGCCCTGCCCCCCGCGGGGCTTCCGCCCCCTCCCCGTCCCGCTGGGAAGAGCGGAGGAACCGGGGAGGGGGGAGCTCCGGTTGTGCCCCCCCCCCCGCTCCACATGTGGCGCCCCGCGGCTGCGGGTGCAGCGGTTCAAGCGGGCAAAACTGTTAATGTGGGCGCAGCGGTTAGTGCGGGTGCAGCGGATAACGTGGGTGCAGTGGTTAATGTGGGTGCAGCAGTGCGGGTGCAGCAGTTAGTTCGGGTGCAGTGGTTATGCGGGTACAGGAGTTAATGCAGGTGCAGTGGTTAGTGCGGGTGCAGCGGTTAATGCGGGTGCAGCAGATAATGTGGGTGCAGCAGATAATGTGGGTGCAGAGGTTCATGCAGGTGCAGTGGTTAATGTGGGAGCAGTGGTTCATGCGGGCGCCCGAGCAGCCCCCGCATGTGGCCACTATGTGGCCGGGGGGCACCTGAGCCTGTCCCGGGGTGCACAGAGCCCCGCGGGAGCTGCCCCGACCTCCCTCTGCTGCAACCTCCCCCCAGGGGCTGCCAGCCGGGGGGCAGCCCGGCGCGCGCAGGAGCCGGGCCAGTCGACTCGACCCTGAGCCTGGGCCTGGGCCTGTTGTGGTGCCAGGAGGGAAGGGGCTCCGGGCAGTGCTGGGGCGGGAGGCCAGCAGCGTGGAGAGGCCCTGCTTGCAGCCAAGCAGTTCCCTCTTCAACATCCCTGTCCCGGTGCTCCTGGGACCAGAGCAAACGGGAACAGGAGCCGGCAATGCGCATCCATCGGACCCACATGGAAGCGCTAACACCCTGGCACCTCCAGCAACGCAGGGCACTGCGCAGGGCAGAGCTGCCAGGGCTGGGGGCACCCCGGTGCCACCATCCCGCGACACCAGCCTGGTGCCAAGGGGCCTTTGGCCATGGAGCTGCCGGCGGTCCCGCGAGGCCGCAGCCACCATGTGGGGCAGCGTCTGCCCCAAAGACCCCTGCCTGCCCCAAAGACCCCCGCTCCTCAGTTCAGCAGCGGGGCTGGCGAGGGGCGCGGGAAGGGCAGGGAGCCCGGTGACTGTGGCCTGTCCTCAGATGGAGAAACAGGCGGGAGCCGGCGCTGTGCCCCACAGCTCCGCGTACCTGTGCCCCGCACTGCCCCGCGGCTCCCGGCGCGGCCGTGGGCACCCCGGGGGGCCTCGTCCCGTGGGCAGCACAGGGAGTGGGCCCAGGCGTCCGGGCCACCTGCCGCCCAGCAAAGATGCTCCGATACTCCTTTGCTCCGATGCTGCGGGCGACTTTCCCAGGCACAGGCTGTTCCCAAGCAGGGGAGGGGCGGCGGGGCCCCCGCTCTGCTTAAAGGCGCCGCAGGCAGCACGTCCCCTCTTCATTAGCCCTCCCTTCGTTAGGCCCTGGCCCCCCAACCTGGCCTGCCTGCTCCGAACCTCCCCATAGCCGTGGATATCTGCATGCCCAGCCCGGCTCCGTGGGTCCAGCCCTAGATGCGGTGTCCCCAGGTCAGGATGGTCCACGAGCCCTCCTGCCTGAGCGCACTTAACGAACGCAGGGCGGCCTGTCCTAATTAGACAAGGGGCTTCGTTAAACAGGGAGCCGCGGGGCTGCCAAGGGCTCGGTGCCTGGCCGGGGGCCCGGAGCTGGCGGAGCAGCGGGCGGCCCGGCTCTGCCCTGGCCAGCGGGGCAGCGCGGGGTGCAGGTGCCAGCACCGCTGCGGCCGCGCGGAGCTGCGCCCGGCCGGCTCCGTGCCGGGACACGCGGCCATGGCGGCAGCATCCCCCTGGCACGGGCATCCTGTGCGGGGAAGCGGCCAGAGGGACCGCGGCGCGTGGCCCGCAGCTCCCGCGGGGCCGCGGCAGGGAGGAACCGGCGGCTCCGGGAGCGCTCCAGGTGCGGGTGAGTCACCCGGCCCGGCCGGCAGCGCCCGCGTCAGCGCCCGGGGCCCCTTCCCGCCGCCCGTCCCGGTCGGCGCCGTCGCCCTGCGGAGCCGCCGCGAGCCCAGAGCCTCTGCGCTCCCCGCAGCCGCCCGTGGCCGAGGCCTGCAGCTGGTGCCCTCTCCCCGTGCCCTCGGGGGCCTCCCGAAGAGCCCGTGGCCCCGGTCCCGCTGCCCCGGGCTCGTGTCCAGGCCCGGTTGTGCAATCCCTGCGCCAGCCCCGGCCTGGGATTCCCTGGGCTCCGAGCAGCGCTGCCCCCGGTGCGGGCCCGGTGCTGTCCCCAGGCTGGACGCAGCGCCCGGTCCTGCTGCCCCAGCCTGGCCCTGCTGTCTCACCCGCTGGCACCCATCCCCGCAGCGCCCTGTGCCAGCTCTCCGGCCAGGACCAGCCCCTCGTGGGCACCGGAGCACCGGGACAACGAGCGGCCACCACGTACATCACCGCGCACGGCAGCCTGGCTCCTGTGGCTCTGCGCGAAGCTGCCGGCGGGAGGGCAGGGAGCACCCAGCCAGGCTGCACCCCGGCCCGGGTACCTGCTCTGCCCCCCGGTCACAGGTCCCCCAGCCGCTGGCTGCAGCCCCCCACCCCGTGCCTCGAGATGGCACCTCGGGATGCTCCTGTACTCCGAGAGGGCTCCCTGCCTCTGGAACACAGAGCAGGAAGGAGAGCAACTGCCACAGGGTGACGAGCTGGCCAGGTCTCAGCCAGCAGAGCCGCACGTGGGCACTGCAGGCTGCACGGGCAGAGGGGTCAGCTAGGGGGGCGGCTGGGCGCAGAGGTGTCGGGGCCGGTGGGGGTCCCCGGGGGCCGCAGGGGGTCCCCGGGGGCCCAGGGGCTGCGGCGGCACGGAGGGGAGCACGGGGAGGAGGAGGCGGCGGCGGCCGAGCGGGAAGCGCGCGCGCCGCGGGGCGGGTTGGGACACGCTCCAGGAATGTCTCCCAGCAGCGGCGGCGGCTCCGGCGTGCCGAGCTGCACCGTGCAGCCCCCTGCCCGCCACGGCCCCGCTGCTTGCCGGGCACACAGGCTGCAAGGGCAGTGCTGCGGGCTGCCAGTGGTGCCGTGCGCCGGGGTGCACGAGGATGCGAAGGAAGAGCAAGGGAGACCACCGGGGAGGACACATGTCCTGGCTCTGCGGCCGGGCGCCCGCGGAGGGGAAGTTCCTCCCTGTAAACTGTTGTGTCTGGAGCGCTGCGGTGGCCGCGGCGGCCTGGCTGCACAGCAGCATGCCAGGAGCCGCATTAGAGCCCGGAGCAGCCCTGGAGCCCGGAGCAGCCCTGGAGCCCGGAGCTGCCCTGGAGCCCGGCCAGGCCCCAGCGCTGCCGGGACCCCCGGAGCTGAGCCTGGTCCGGCCCCGCGGCGGGGGCAGCGTCACGGCCCTGGTGGCAGCGCAGGGACACGGAGCCGCGGGGGCCGGCGCGCGGCCCGACCACCCACGCGGCGCCGCTCGTGGCGCAGGCAGGCGGCCGGTCCCGGCGCGGGCTGCAGCCGCCCCCGCAGCGCAGCCAAAAAGCGCGTGCCACAAAGCCCCGCCGTCCCACAGCGCCCGGGACGGGGGCACAGCGGGCAGGGTGGGCACAGCGGGCAGAGTGGGCACAATGGCATGGTGGGCAGCTGTAGCGCGTCAGCAATGAGCGGTTTCCCTCAGGCGCCCGCAGGAAGGAAGCGGTGGAGGACGGGCGAGCGCTGGGGAGCTGCCGGCGCACGCGGGGCTCACAGGGCACGGGGGGACACCGGGCGCTGCCCGGGGCTCCCCACGCTGACCCCGCGTGCAGCCCGGGGTGCCGGCAGCGCCGCGTGGCCGGCGGGGAGGTGCGAGGCGGCACTCCCGGGAGCGCGGGTCACGGGTGGGAGCGGCGCGGGCCTGGCCGGGGCAGCGGCAGCAGGAAGG